AAAAAAAAAAAAAAAAATATATATATATATATATATATATATATATTTATATATATATATATATATATTTATATATATATATATATATATATATATATATATATATATATATATATATATATATATATATATAAAACAAAACATGGATATACTTTTAGGCCTCCAAAATAAAATGCAGTGTACAAATGGTTTGTTTGTGCATTTTATCTAAAACCATTCATATGTAGCTTTAGATAGAAAGCCTTAAATCTTACTGGCACCTTAGTTGAGATTTACTCTTTACACGGACCGTCAAAGGAAATTAAAAGTATTGACCCCCCCCCCAAAAAAAAAAAAAAAAACTTTCAGATTATTTATTTGAAATTGTTTGAGATGTCAGTAATTGTGGTTCCAGTAATTTATTTATAAAACATTTATTATTTTTCAATGTGAAATTAACAAAATGTATCAATTAAAATGTATTTTTTTAATTTTCCAGTGTGGGTTTATGCAACTGCACTGAATGATGGATTTTATCTTAATGTATCTTTTTAAAGAGGTGCCACCAAGTAAGGGTTTCGTTGACTAACGCAGGATATAGTTGTCCAAGAAAAAATACCCTTGCCACTTGTCTTGTCAATTTATTTTCTAATTTTTTAAAATTTTCTTTATTGCAATAACATTATAATTTTGCAAATAATGCCAAATTATTTCTAAAAAATAAAACAAATTAACCAGATGATCAGTCAAGTTCTCCATTCTCTGAACAAGTTCACAAAACAGAGGACTAATTCATCTCAAATGGACTTTTCTGAAAGTAATGTAGCCGGTCGTGCTTTAGTCGTGCATAAAACCGTTGAAGGCTGACGATGTTGTAATCTGACTCTCTAAAGCGTAGCCTAAAACCCAAAATGTGATCTTACAAGTCTTAGGACTTCAAAAGTGGATTTCTCTTCATTAGTAACTGTGTGGGTCTTATGGGTAGAGTTAACAACAAAAAATAATCCTGATTACTTTCTGACCCTCTGTCAGGTAGCAGCACTGATGAGGTAAAAAGCATTAAAAAAAATCACACCGAGCCTCCAATCTGACAGCTGAAACTGAGCTGTAAAAAAAAAAGAAAAAAAAAAAAAGGCATGGCGTTCCTGTTGCCGTGAGATAGTGCGGATATGATTTTGGTTCTTCTCCTGACAGTAATTACCATTCCAATAACCAATTACAGTAAAAGGTATCCAAGAATTCCTCTGGCTCCTCTTCAAAATGGTAATTGCCAGTGGAACGTTCGCATTATAACCAGAACCATATGATGACCTCTGGTTTTACTTCATAACCCAACTGAGATCCAAGAGGCAGCTGTGAATTTCCCCTTTGCCGGATAAGTGTAGGCTCAGTCTGATATGATGTGTGATTATGCTGCCTGCCTTGCAGGCGTCCAAAGCCCACACTTCAATTAGCTTTGCATAGCCCTCGCCGACATCCCCGCACAGCCGAACAGAGGCGGAGGGAGCAGGGAGATGGATAGCGAGAGAGGGAGAAAGGAGGTCAATGGGAGAACGTGGAGGATGGGGGAGGGAGATCAGACAAGATGGGCAGCACTTTGTCAGGACCTGCAGCCTCAGCCACCCCGGTGACAGCTCGAGGATGAGGGTTCTTAGCTGTGACTGTTACGAGTGATGCATGAGCTGATATGTGTTGCACTTGCTTGGGGTGAGATGAGGACATACCTTCTGGAGCTCCTCAAGCTCCAGCAGCAACACCTCTGAAACATAGCTGTCAGACAAATGGATGGGGGTGCAAAAAGAAAAAGGAAGCATTTAAGAACTTTATTATTATTATTATTATTATTCTGGCAAATGCACTAAATACTTTCACAGTTGTGAGCTCAGCTTGGAGTTCAAGTCTTAGAAGTTTGCTGTTTTCTAGCACCTCCTCTTGGAGCAGAAAGTTAATGCACTGTTGTACACCTGTTTGTCGAAATCAGTGAAAGATCTGAGGAACAGAAAAATGCTCACCAGATGTGAAGGGGAAACTCCCGGCCAGCAACACTGCTGGCAACTACATATGCAACACGTTTCATCGTGAGCCAGAGCAGCCATTATTTCAGATGCGCAAACAAACACTTGACAGTGATTTGCCTTAAACATCTGCACAGCAGAATACAGACGGGCTGCAACAGGCAAGCAAAAGAAACTGTGGAGCCCCTGGAATAGTGTCCTTAATTATTCACTGTATATGCAGTTAGCAGGCCTGCGTATCAATAATTTACTATAAAAACCTGCAAAGCTGAAGGTGTAAGGGATACGGGCGGGCTTGAGTTTATATTTCACAAGAGCTGCTTGGTTCCAGCACAAAAACAAAACCAAAAAAAAAAAGAAAAAAAAAAGACATTTATAATCTTGGCACTCATCTATATGTTGAATGCAGAAATATTAAGTCTTCACTGTGTTCTTGGATAAATGTGGAGCTCTTGTTTGCCTGTTCTGAATTAGTAGTCCACTCGTTCGCTGCTATTTTAGTTGAACTTCAGGGTGGAGGCAGCATGCCTCAGGGATGTGTGCTGTTATTTTAATGAGTTTGCATCACTGCACAGTTCAAAATAATATATACCCCCTCTACGACGCCTTGTAGAAGTATTCATATCCCCTGATCCTTTTCGAATTTTGTCATCTCACAAAAAGCATATCAATATGTTCCATTGGGACCTAATGTGATAGACAAATAAAACTCCTGCACCTTTCACTGCAGTTACCGTGGCAAATTGTTTTGAATATCAGGTTTGCACGTAGAGAATGAAAGTTTCGCCTTTTCATTTTTTTCACATCATCAATCCACTGCGTTGGACTGTGACAGTAGAGAAAAATATGTCTTGGAATTTGGGAGCCGTAAAATGTCTTTAGCATCTCAAGCTCCATATACCTTAGCGAGAAGGATAAGATGGTGTGAACACACCAAACGTGACTGAAAATGGGTATAATACATGTTCATTGCAAAGGCTTAGTGGCACTCAAAAGCAGATGAGCTCTAATTTCTGGACTGATCAAACTTAGATGAAGCTTGAACAGTTGAATCGCTTCTAGTTTCTTTGTGGACTATATTGCTGCTCCTGACATCTCTGACACAACCTGACTAGTGACCTGCCCTCTGAGTATCTTACTCTTAATCGCATGTTTGTAAGTCACGTGGGATAAAAAAAATAAAAAAAAGAAAAAAAAAAGAAAAAATCTTCCAAATACATGAACAAACTTCCCTGTACTTCCTCAGGAAAGGTAACTCCACAGCATAATGCCACCTCCACCATGCTTCCCCATGTTTACAGTTGGATTAGAGTGACATACTTTAATACTTTTGAAAGGCTCTGTCCATGTTCTCATCGGCGTATTGGAATGTGTCGCTCACGGCTGATTTCTCTTTGCAGATTGGCTGCTGGAACGAGTACACAGGATTTGTAAATATTATGGATCCTCAGGTCAACATCTCAGAGGAAAACCGAACCATTGTGGTCACTACTATTATGGTACACTTTCCACGCAGTTTTAAGTGTTTCACATATTCTGCCACTCGAGGTCATGGTGTTGATTCCAATGAGTGATACATTCTGTCCTGGACGGGTAGAACCACATCTTTTTTGTGTTGCTTTCCACCCACTCACTACATGTTGAAACAGTCGGCCCCAGATAAGCGAAGGTGGCGGTTTCGTGGCGTGGGGAAGGGTAGTGGGGCGGGGGGGAGTGTTTCAACTGTATCCGTGTGGGTGTCAAAGCATTTTGGTTTCCCATGTTTTAGTGGCCTGTCGTAGCAGTGACGTCACAATAAATGGTGTAAGTGATTATAGTTGACTCCATCAGTTACAAAAAAAAAAAACAAAGCAAAACATAAAACGCATACGTAAGTAGACCCGTCTGTCCTTTTCAAGTAAATGTTCAATGACACTTGGGACAGACCGACTGCAGAATGACGAGAGAATGATGCTGCAGTGGTTACACAAGCTGGGCAAAGCAAAATAAACAGCATTGGAGAAGGATAAGTTGGTATGGCGGTTTCCCCTGTTATCACTTCTTCAATCTATTTTGCTTTGCTCCTCCATGTGTTCTGTGTTGAAGTATATACTAACCCTAAGCACTTTAGTAAAGCCACATTAAGAGAAATGGACCACATTCTTAAGCTAATTTAATTCAACCAAAAATATGTAAGGCTTACTAGATGGCTCATAACAGAAACATTTTATTGCAACAGAAAACATTTCAAAATGATGGAGAAAAAGTTTCTGAAAAGCAGTGGTTATCTTAAAAATATATATATATATGTATATATATGTAAATGAATGAGAATCACACAGAAGTGAGAGGAAAAAAAAAAAACGAACATCTCCAGAGGAGGAAAAACAGACTGCCTGAGTAGAAAAATACTCTGTGGATCCAGTGTGATGGGATACATTCAGCACAGAACAAACAAATCATTGCTCTCCCACTTGCACTCTAATTGTGTGTGGCTGTAATGACAATGCCGCCTCTCCTGAGCAGCCCTGTTGTTCCGTAATGACGATGTGCTCAGTTAGAGGAAGGGTGAGCTGCACAAGTCTTTTTTTTTTTAAATGGAGTGAAACAGCTGGCACGCTCCTGGTCTGCTTTTAATTATTTTTGTTATAAAGGATTTTTATGTCGCTTGATTCTAAATGACAAATAGCAACCAGTTGATTTTTCTTTTTTTATATAAGCTTGTTTGCTTACTTCTAATGGAATCGCAGTTTATTATTGATTCATTAAGTGTTTTTTTTTTTTAATTTAATTATTTATTTAATAATTACTAATAATGTAACAAAATGTTACTTTTTTCATTGATTGAATAAGACGAACTAACTGTGCATTGGTGCAGTGTGCTTGCTGAGATAGCAGAGGCACTTCTCTGATCCCTCTACTGTCACTGGCATTTACTTGTGAAACCCATTCCCCACCCCTGTTCTCATCCCCATTCTCCACTGAGCTGACCCACGCCCTGCCTACCACTGACGCAACCTGATTATAACAATAATCTGGCTGGTAAAATTTATAAATGTATATTTTTTTTACATATAGAAAAAGTCACCGAGTTGGACTTGCGGATTAAAATACAGTTTACTACAGACTGGTTTGGCTTGGTGTCTGCTGGCTGTCAAGGCTTGATAAGAGCAGCCGAACCGTGTGATCATTCTGCTTTTATCACCGCATATTTGTGCATTAGCAGGCCATCATTTGTTTATGCACGACTGCATGGACACGTTTGTAGCTGCTAGTAATATATGGGGTGTGTGTGTGTGATTTGGGCTTGGTGTGCATCTGTGGTCACGTTTCAAGGAAAACATTACAAGGACAGAGAGCAATTTCCCATGAATTAAAAAATTTGAAACATACTATGGCTAATTTCCACACATGCCATGAGGTCAGGGTCCATTAAGAACCATTTGTTGACATTTTCCCACAAAGTTGAGGTTTCAAATAATGTGTGTTTTATACAACACCCAACACAACAACTCTTAAGACAAAAAACAGAACAAAAATGATGAGAACCTAAATATCTAAGACTAAAATATTTCTATTTCCATTATTATTAATTCTTGATCTCCTGCCAATTATAGCAAAGATTGTTGCAGAGGTCACACTCGGCATATTTAGGTGAAAATTTTGGAAATATACATTGTCTTAAACAGTATTAACACGAAAAGCTCTAAACTACAACTTCCGTTGTAGCACAGTGTAAGATTAATAATTACTTACGGATTATACACTCAGCAGACATTTTTTATTGATTTGAGTTTTAGGACATAGCGCATCATGCTGTTGTACATAGCCAGAGGAAAACTGGTACAATACAGATATAAATTATAAATATCTCCCATATCATTTCAGTTTAACCGGTAATACAAGGCAGGATTGATCCATGCTTTCATGTTGTTTATACCAAATTCTATCCTTTAAATTTCACAGCTTCGATTGAAATGCATCAGACTTTACAGCATGTTGGCGTCTCAGTTCTTTGAGCCTGTGTTAACTGCAGCCGCAGCTTTCTGTTGTTAGCTGTCAGTGGTGACACAAGGTGTTTTTCATGTTGCTGTCACCAATCGTCTCCAAGATTGCAGATAGTTGCAACAAGTGGCTACTTGACCTGTTGTTGCCTTTCTATTATCTTGATGCTGTTTGCCCATTCTCCTCTAAATTATGGCATCGGCCATTTCTGAATTACAGATCAGGCTATCGGGGACCAGCACCCAGACCAGGTTCCTCATCTTTACCACATCAAGATGCAAATTGCTATTTGTATTGCCAAGCATTTGAACAGGGATGCCTAATAAAGTGGCCAATGGGTGTAGTATTTAACATGCTAATTATGAGAACAACCTTAACCCTGAACATCATGGGAAGTTTGAGGAAAAGGCTGGATTAAGAATTACTCCTGGATTGTGGAGTTAGAGGTTTGGAGGTCAGGAATAAATAAAATCTCAAAATTTTATTTAGAGTATGTCAAAAAATACTTGTGTGTGTATCTTTTGTCTGCGTGTGTACATGTTTGGTGTATGTGCATGTATTTGAACGCATGTTTGCATATTTCTGTATTTTTTTAACGTGTACGGGGGCATAGGAGTGAATAAACCAGCATATGTTTGAATCAACAGGAAGCTCCTTATGTGATGTACAAGAAAAATTATATGCATCTGGAGGGGAATGACAGATATGAAGGCTACTGCGTCGATTTAGCATCTGAGATTGCCAAACATGTTGGAATTAAGTACAAACTGTCAATAGTAATGGACGGCAAGTATGGAGCCCGAGACCCTGAGACCAAGACGTGGAACGGGATGGTGGGTGAACTGGTCTATGGGGTGAGTACTGGGAGTCTCGATTCTGCTGATTACATGACAGTTTGCAAGGAACTTCAACATGAGAGGAGATCTCATTTTTCTGTCTTAAGGTGATCACCAAACCCGCGGTGAACTCATCAGCTCTTGCCCCAGTTCAAAGTCCCATGATGTCCCTTGAAGCTCAGCTGTGAGTGAATTTGTCAAATGCAGCCTGAAGCATTGGGGAGTTGGTGATCATCTTGAGACGGAGAAAATGAAATCATTTCTCAGTGCTGTTCATTGCAATTAATCCTTCTTGCTTAGTTTAGAAACTGTCTCTCTCCCTCTCTCTTTCTCCCCCAGTCGAAACAGAGGTAGGTACATGAAAACAATGAGTCCATATGGCAAACACACTGTAATCACTTTGATGAATGAAAGATTGTATGTCTTTGAAGTGACTGTGTAATTATGTTCAATGTTTCACGTGTTTGATGAATTATGCCAGATTCACAGCTGAGTAATCTGCTTTAGAATCAACAGCTAAATGATGGTTTGCGGTTTGAAGCAACAAGATCCATATGGTGCTGCGCTTCACAACCTCTTGCGTTAAGGACGGGGGTCACGGTGTGTTATACATCTGACGAGAGTCGGCGTGGGCACTTGCGACACCTTTAAGAATTTCCAAAATGATCCCGACCCCTCCCAGTCACCTTTCTTTGAGGCCTCAATAGTTGAGCAGGGGCCAAATACAAAATGCATGAGAGTCAGACCTCCTCGCTTGTTCAATATCCTCACTATCAGCTGGAGAGATTGCTCGGTTTCATGTGCCAAATTATCTTTCGAATAGGAAAAGTCCACTCCCTGCAGATGAAAGTGGTGGGGAAACTGATTCCAAACACATTGCAGTCAAGTCTTTCCAGCCCTGCGCCTTTGCAGCAGGTGGGCCAGTCCTAATAGTTTTGTACATTCTGACCTTTTGACCAGTAAATTAATTTGATTTTCGTTGTCTTTAAAAGGTTAGGCCCGAGGCTCCTCTTTATTGTTTTGTTTGCCTGGCCATTGATTGAACACAGCACAGGAATTAAATGGTTATAGCCCACGTCTCAGCGTTGCGTTGACAGGGTAAAGAAAACAGTCGTGTTTATTGGCTCTATTTGTGTCGCTCCTTGCTCCGACCTCATAAAAAGCAAACACTCTCCGCCTTGTGCTCCTTCAGTTCGATGTTTTCTCATTTTTTGACATGAAAAGGCAAACGCAGCACAATGCAACAATGGACGCTATTGTCTTTTCCCACACTAGCGTCTTTGAAGAGGAGCATTATTTAATTAATCACACACACACAGTACGCACTAACATTGTCTGACATGATTAATTATTTTCTTCTGCTTTTACAGAGAAAGCTGTTGTGATTTCTGAAAAAGAAAAAAAAGGGGCAGCACCACCTTCATTGGATTTGTTTTGATAATGTAATGTGATTGAAGTAGCAGAGCAAAGGGAGAAGGAGATAAAGAGAAACAGCTTGGAGAAAGAAAAAAAAAATACAGCACCAGAATAAGCTATGTTTGGGAAACCAAGTGTAAGACACTGCCAGTGCTTTCAGATGTCTATGTGCAGCAATGATTTTGCATTCTGCAGATAAAAATGTCTAATTAAACAACATGCACAGTTTTTTTTTCTGTCCTTCTTCCATGCAAAAATTCAATTTGGTGTTTTGTTTTTATATATCTGAAATTTTTCTTCCACTTTCTGCCTCATTTAGTCAAACATTGCTCAAATACCCGTCTGTCTCAATGGATCGCTTCCAAGCTGCCTCTCTCTGAGCTTTTTCTCTTTTCTACCTCTAAATAGAACAATATTTCTGTATAATTTTTTTTCCTTCTCATCTTAGACCTTGCCTACATTTCCAGCAACTCTTTTTGCTTTCCTTTGTGATTCACCTTTTTTTTTACAGCTCTCCTTAAAACAGGATTTTTTTTTCTTCTTAAGAGTCATATGTAAAGTGAGATTTAAACAGCTGCAGTCGTTCACACATACAATGACCTATTTCCCTAACATGTTCCCTGTGCATGTCCCTATTTCCAGAGGGCAGATATAGCCGTTGCGCCTCTCACCATTACTCTGGTTCGAGAGGAGGTGATAGACTTTTCCAAGCCCTTTATGAGCTTGGGCATCTCCATTATGATAAAGAAGCCACAAAAATCCAAGCCTGGCGTTTTCTCCTTCCTGGACCCGCTGGCCTATGAGATCTGGATGTGTATAGTGTTTGCCTACATTGGTGTGAGCGTGGTACTGTTCCTGGTCAGTCGGTTCAGCCCGTATGAGTGGAACCTTGAGGAGCAGGATGAGACCAAAGACCCCCAGACTCCTCCCGATCCTCCCAATGACTTTGGTATCTTCAACTCTCTGTGGTTCTCACTGGGCGCCTTCATGCAGCAGGGCTGCGACATCTCTCCAAGGTGGGTGAGCTTCAGTAGACACCTAGTTAAGGGATAGAGTAAAGATAAAAGTACAATTTTATTTGGATTGTGGTCAGAGGTTTGCATGCATAACACGAAAGTTGTATGAACGACATTTGTCCACCTTTATTATTCCATTTGCTTTATTTGAAACACTAGTGCCACTCGCAGGGGAAAAAGTCCCTCTGCTTGACACCTCCATGACAAATGGTAAAATGTTCCTACATTTGCGAAACTCTCTTTAACTCCTCCAAACATCCTTCACCTCTTTCAGTAAAGTGTTTGCTCTCTCCATTTGTTTTTAGCGCGGTCAACTTGACACTGCCGTTTCTTTGTTCTGCACACCAAGGTAGTAACAGCTCTGAATTGGCCATCTTACAATATGCAAGTGTTAGTGCTCCCCGCCAGCGCAATGTAGTTTTTGCAGCTCTCTGGGGGATTTAAAGTGCAATCAAACAGAAAAGAATTGCCAGGCACTGTGTCAATACACACACTGGACGATTCATTGTGAAGTGTGCCAAAACAAAACAGATCAGTGGACTTCAGCCAAGGATAGTTCCTTTAGAAGTGGTGACGCTGGATAAAAGGAGAATACTAAAAAGGTGTTGCACACCATTGATATGTTTTACCCTCTATAATGGGAGACTTCTGATGTATTTTATGAGAGACGCTCCATATAAACTCACAACATGGCACCTTTTGTTTTTTCAATACCAGCTTGAACTTGGATTTATGGTTGGCTACATCCAAGTAGCTTCTCTCCAACCCAAGACAACCTCACTTAATATTAGTCAGGGTGTATGCATATATTGAATTGCATGTATAAGTTTCGCCCCATGTTGATATGAAAAAATTTACAAATTAGTCCTTCTAATTCTTGTTTTAAATGTTCACACATCTCATGTTTTTATTAGCAGTAATCAAGAAATTATCACCATAAGAAAAAAAAAGCTTCAAAACATCAGTGTGTAATTGCGCACTGAATTACTGAAATACATGGTCTTTTCATTAATATTCTAATTTATTGACTATGAGTGTAGCTGACATTTATGTTAATGGTGATTTATATGTTAACTTCTGACCAGAATCCTGCATGTTTTTCCTGATTGCACAGTGCCTCACAGTTTGCTACTTGAAGCTCTGGACTAATCTTTGACACAGACTTGAGAGCAAGTTAAATATGCAAGTTAAAAAAACCCAAAACACATTCAAAGATGTTTTACTATTTTCTTTGGACGTGTGCTTTTCTATCTCCCTAAAGTGTTTCCATCTCGCTTTTACGAGTTACCAGGAAATTCTCATGACTGATCCAATCATCTGTACACTTGAACACAACTGGTAGATGTTAGCAGCTCAACAGGCTCTAATTGCATTTTTTCGTTTCCCCCGTCGTACACCATCCCTCTGTCAGGTCTCTTTCAGGGCGTATCGTTGGTGGTGTTTGGTGGTTCTTCACCCTCATCATCATCTCCTCCTACACTGCCAACCTGGCTGCCTTCTTGACTGTGGAGAGAATGGTGTCGCCTATAGAGAGTGCAGAGGATCTAGCAAAGCAGACAGAGATTGCGTACGGCACTCTGGACTCAGGCTCGACAAAAGAGTTTTTCAGGGTGAGTGGAGTCAGAAAACAGGTTTTTACGCAATGCACCACCTGCATTTTCTATCAGCCGAAGTGGTAAATCATGTAGAGCCCTAAATATTAAATCATAGACCTTTCTCTATGTCCTTGATCGACAACTCCTTTGCAGCTCTTCCCTTTGTGTGCTTTCAGAGAAGAACTCCTGACCTGTGAGAAATTCACCCAAATAAGTCATGTTGACGAAGTATCAATTCTTGAACTCATTGGACAGGAATGTCAAATTTATGCAGCGCGCGCTGCAGTGCGCAACCTTGAGGCCTTCCGAGGCTGTCAGCAGAAAGCATGATAACAACACTGAAGGCTCAGAGGTGATAAAAACAGGAGGCTTAATCAAAGCACCCACATAAGACTCAGACTCTGAAGGGTCAGTTCATGAGTTATAATTAGCAAGGCAGCCATGGCTGGCAAATTAGGTGTGATGAGGAAGAGCCCCCGCAGGTCAAGCAGAGCGGCCGAAAAGACATTTCAGAAGGAATCAGCAATATGTCTGCCGGCGTGAGAGACTAGCTCAGCAATTAAGTTATAAATTACTTACAATCTGAGGTGTGAGTGTTTGACTGTCTTAGAACTAATCACACGCTCGCCGTGCAAGAGCTCACCGAAGCTACGTGTTGTCAGGACGATCAATCTTTTGCCTTGAGATCCGTAGATGTCTTTGCTCGCGGCGCGCTCACAATAGCATTCCTGAAAACAAATTCATGAAACGTTGCTCTAACTGTGATGACAAAAAGGCAATATGACAGCCTTTTATCTTGTGCTCCCCTCATTACTCATCACCAGGAGAGAAACATTACACATGTTTACCAGCTGCACACTGTTTTTAGAGAGAGTCTGACTCGAATTTTGAATCACAACCACAAAATCCAGAAATAAATCCATGTTCTTTCAGTCAGCAAAGAATGAGGAACTGTCTGCAGGGCTTGATGTTTAAAATTCTTTGGATTAAAGTCTGTAGCCCCTCATGAGCGAGGCATGAAAGATTCAATTCAGTGCAGATAATGCTTTGTATTTAAGGAAACATATTAGGACTGACAGTAAATTTATTCTTCACAGAATATCTGACAGAACTTGTCGCTGATCTGCTTTTTATCAAAAATGCTGCACAGGTGTAAGCCCGTACGGCGCACAGTAGCAGCAAATGACGACGGAAACTCCCTGAAAGGTACGCTGTGTCACAGAGCAATGCGAGATGCGGCTGGGGAATCCCATTCTTCTGTATTCTGTCTAACGAGTGTCCTAGTTATACATCCCCAGATCTTCAAATAGGAAATGACATGTGTGAAGCTCTATTCCAGGGGACTTTTTAATTAAAGCTGCAGAAGGCTGACAAGGAAGAAAACTCACTGATTAATAGAAGTTCAGGTTCTGTTTCAGATCCGTTTCTTCAGAAAAAATACATCCGGTGCTAATTAGACCCTGTACGCCATCAGCCAGCTGGAAATTCAAAATCAAGCCCAATTTTTCAAATCCGACACATGTCATCGCATCTGACACCACTGGCCTCTAATTTTTGATGCTTTCACCTGATTTATTTTCCAAAGCTCTCTTGACAAGTAAAACAACTTTTATGATCTAAATAATTTATCTGCTTTCAGTGGCACAAAAAAAAAAAACAAACAAACAAACATGGAGGTATGAATATTGCATGAATTCACAAGATTTTGGTTACGTTATTCTTCTCTTCTCCCTGGTTTAAGATGAAAACACTTTTTAGCTCCAGTCAAATTGACTGTTTGTAAAAGTATTTTCTACCTGACTAGAACCGTAACACTCCTTGCAGTTTGTCTCATCATCTGGGGGAATGCTTTGGATTGTTTTTACAAACTGCGGGTGTCGTAGCAGATATTCCAGAAAGCCCAGATTCCGACGGCCACCACCCACTAGGACAGCTGGCCTGGGAGCCCATGGATGTGCCCAGTGGAGGCCTCCATTACTCTAGGCATTTGGCAGTGGCTATCTAACAGCTCTTGGCTCCTTTCCCCCAGACTACCATGCTTCCCTGGAAGCATTTCTCTCCCCGGTCGTTAGCCTGTCTGTTGTTTTACCTTGAGATGGTCACTTTACTTGAGCACTACAGCTGTACTGCAATGCATTAAATTGATTTAAGTTTGTCAATTAGTGTTTTTTCAGTGATTCGAAAACAATGGGGAGGTACACCATTGATTGTACATTTACCCTCCTTATCAAGTACAAATGGGAAAAGTGTACATATATCTGTGACACAGTTATTGGCATCCCTGTGGTTGAAGCTTTGTGCAGCCCCATTTTGCCAATAGAAAAGTAATTTCCCTGCGTAGAGAGGGAGAGTGAACTTTCATTTATGTGCCTTTTCCCCGTGCCGTTTTATGCACTCATCTGTTCAGATCACCCCAATAATTTGATATTGTCATTTCAGTTACTTTGTATCATATTAACGTTGATCTGACCACGTTTTAAAGTTTGTCTTGCAAAAAGCAAGGTAAAAAGACCCAATGACATGTGTTGTCAGTTTTTGAGCAGTCAGTCAAAAATGTATTTACAGTCTCATTGTATTTCAAGTAGTTCATGGCCTCATGCACTCAGACGATGCAATCTAAGACTCCAGATCATAAAACAGACCCCCAGCATCACAAATCCTCCACTATAGTCAACAGTGTGCATGAGGTGCTTTTCCCCACATTCGTATCCTTTGTTTTTTGCCAAACTGACTCGGAGTGTTTCGTATCTAAAGTTCTATCTCAGCCTCATGAGAGTCAAGCGCACAGTTGGAGACTCCAGACGTTGACATTTGTGATGGAATAATATTTTTCTGACATTCCTGAGTTTAGCTATCATCTGAGGATTGCTGTGGAGTCATTGTGACCTCAAGAGACTTGGTATTTTTGCTATTACTTCCATGTAACTTCAGTGTAACCATTGCGTGTGAATGCGTGTGCGAATGGGTGAATGACTGGATATAATGTAAAGTGCTGTGGACTCCAGCTAAAGTACCAAAAGTTTAGCAAATTTAACATATTTTCATATGTGATCGTAAGACGGAAAATGTTTTTTTTTTTTTCTAGCATGCCTGTCAGACGACTTGTTTGCTTGTCCATTACTCTGTTCCTGACTGTTTATGGTTGCAGATTAATGTGGCTGAAAGAAATGGGCCTCCGTGTCCCTTCATAATTACACCACAGGGAAACAGAAAATAATGGATGATTAATCCTAAACACTATGATAAACCTAAAGTTGTACAGCAAGAATTATAATTTTAATTTCTCAAATGTTTTTCCACCTAACATTATGTCCGTGCAACAAAAGCTAAATTTATTTTAAGGGTTTTTACAAAGTCTTACGGGGAGCGTCAATAAACTCCATCCAAATGGCTCACTGCATTGCTGAAATGCACAATACTGTGAAGACTGGATCAGACGACCTTTGGCGATGAAAACGAGTTGACTTGGTTGTTTAATTACCTGTAAAGACATGGTCTGGATGATCAAATGCAATTTCAATGTCCCTTTGTGCACCTCATTTAGTAGCAAAAGATGACAGAATCATAACTGCATGGGAAGTAAGGGGGCTTTGTTTGCTGCTCCCCTCGAAAAGATTGCCTATTAACCAAAGCTTCAATGGCAAACTATCATGCATCTCAGTGATCTGCAGGTGTGTTGGAGATTAGGGGACACAACAGCGAGGGCGCAGGCACCAATACGTTCTGTAAAGCATGAAAATCAATTTCACGTCTCAGCTATTGTAGCACACACTGCTGTCTCAGGATGGTCTGATACAATGTTTAATAAGCAGCTATTTGTGCTTAGCAGACCTGCATTAGAGCGGGGTTGCATGGCGAAGAGACAGCAAGGCAATTTTGTATCAGCAAACCCTGATTTGCCCTGGCATCATATGCAGCACAACTCCCAGGACTCTTGTCACTTTGCGTTTTAGAACAGCGTTAAGTAAAGGGGAGGTTCTCGCAGAGATCAGAGGCCGTTTGCATGAAAAAGAAACCCGACAAAACGTGCGCGCTACAAGATAGGCGTAACCTCTGAGGGAAAAGTACAGTCCTCCAAGGATTTGCCGAAGTTGAGATGAGCAACGGCGGGCTCTGTGGAGGAGCCGACGGAGTCCAGCACCGAGCATCAAAGACGAGTAATTGGTATTCAGGGTGAAGCATGTGGCACTTCAGTGACAAAATACACCCCCAGAGCTTCAACTTTCATCTCTTCCTACTTGAGATACAGGTAGTCCTGGTGTACAGGATATTGAAGGGAAGCGGCGATGTCGACGAACAAAATGGAAGGGAAGTTGAGTTGAATGAAATGTAGCAGAGGTGCTCGGCGATGGCCTTTAAATGCACAAGCAGTGGAGCATACGGGGGGGGGAGGCTGTAATGAAAGCGGCCCTGCGGTGCCAGAGGGAGAATAAAAAACAGGCTGCAGTTCGGAGGCCAGCGGGCAGAGGGCTGGGAAATGCTGCATAACTCAAAATCGATACAGATTAAGTGGTTATTTAAAACGGAGAGGTCAATTTATTTGACTTTGGAGTTTAATCACTTGTCTCTTTAGAGACGTTTTAATGACGTGATTGGAGATTCTAAAAAGAAAAAGAAACACATCTCTCTCTCTCTCTCTGTTAAATTTGACAATGATCCTTTAACATACAGAGCTGCGGCGGCGGTCCTCTTTCCTGTCTTCCTGTCCTTTTCTGTCAGAAAAGCAGAGATAATTCAAAGGGCTCCATTCAGACGTGTAAGCACTTTCTACAAAGACCTTAAATATATTTCTGCAGAGTAACCTTTTAAAGTACAGGAGGACAGTACTCAACTTATTATGCAGTTCTGAGCAGTAGCTAAAAACTAGAACCTTTATTCCATACATATATTGGTATATTGTTCTCTGATAGTAAAGAAGAAGAAGAAAAAACATAATACTACAACACCACCAGCAACATTTAGATGATTTTGTATAATTATTTCAGCACTTAAACCACTGGACTTATTGTTGTTTT